GAATCATAAGGACTCTGTCGAACTGTTCTGGTAGCCGCTTCCTCTGCGTAACTACATAGAGTTTCATTTGGGTCTTCCAAGCAATGTACTTGGATTTCGTGCCGTCGAAGGCGTCTGGCTTCATTGCGCTTCCATTGAGGAGCGCGGCACTATCTTGGTTCTCGGCCATCGCGCCGGGATCAGATGGAGATGAAGGTGGGGTGGGAGAGCGTCGGGAAGGTGGTTCCGAGGCTTCTGAATCTTCTACCGCTTCTTCTACGGGGTTTGGCGGGTCCTCTGGTGGATCTTCGGATTCTCCGAGGGCAATTGAGCGGAGATGGTCAGTGACCGATTCGAGAGTATCTCGTCTGGTTCTGGGTTCTGAACCGGATGCTACGGGTTGCGGGACTGCGAGGGATTCTGACGGTGCTCCTGTGGGAATTCTTTGTAGCAATTCTCCACGTAATCCTTCTCTACACCGGGGACAACGAGTATTATTATCTGAAGAGTGCGGACACGGTTGTTGCACGCAGTATCGTACGTTATCGCCGTGTAGGTAAATGGATGTTCCCTCTAGTTCTCGGTGTACGTGTCCTCTGCAATCACAGGAAGATGTGGTCATAGATTGTTGGGTCCGTGAAGCTGCTTGCAGCAAACCCTGGGACTAATCGTGTTGTAACGACCAGATCAGGGGTAGAGTTCGCCAAAGATAGGATTTCTCCAAAAAAGAATCGAAACACTATTCTTAATACAGTTCTAGGAATAGTATAGCAGCCCAAAGAGTGATTGTGTCTCTTCGGTCCGACGCCCTGACAGGGATCGTCGATCTAACTGCTATCTCTTTTCCGACGCCCAGCCTCAGCCGGTTGCCACGTCGTACTCAGGAATATCCGCTTGCACTGCGCAAAGCGTTTAACACCACCTATGGTAGGGCGATGTACGATTCTAATTGGACGGAGCTCTGTCCAGCCGCCTAAGGGCTGGTGATTACAGAGGTGGCTTCGGGGTATGTGATGTGGTAAAAGACGCGCAAGTGCACGGAGAAAGGTTCCAGGGGTCCGGGTCTTGATGCGATAGAATTCGGTAGGGTTAGGAGTTAGGGTGAGAGTCGAGTGTGTGTATAGGGTGGATCGTCGGGTGGAGATGCGTGATGGTTGGAGTGGGAGTGACGAGGATCGTCGTAGGGCAGTTGGTGGAGACTCGAGCTAATGTCAGCAACAAACAATCCAACTGGACTGAGCTACGACAATGCTGAGGAGACAGACGAGAGGAAAGTGAGTGAGGAAAGACCAGCTCGAGTCTGGCTTGTTATTGAGCAGTACGAGCTCCTTATATACATGTCAGACTGAATATCTAGAATATCCTACGAATATACGGAGGTGTATAGAAAGTAAGAGAATACCATGGAATCCGGGAGAACCATCCGGATTGTGTAATATTCATGACAAAAGGCGAGACGGACTGACCTTGTGCCTCCTCGAGCCGGATCGTCAATGGCATATCATCAATCACCCATTATCATTCGCAGCGCTCACGAAACTGTCAAGTGGAAGCACACATGTAATTCGCCGATGCCAGAAGACAGCTCCGAGTAGAATATGGCGCACAGTTGGAAGTCTGAGAGGGATCCGCCATTCTCAGGATTATCTTTGGTGCTAAGCAAGCAGGTACGGGCGACGCATCAGACTGGACGCCGTTCGTGTTTGTCGGGACTACGCGGATGGCGTAGCTTGGGTCGAAGTTACCCGCGGCCCTGCCGACGTAGCCAAGAAAGGCTGCAAAACCTCGTCAGCCGTTGATATATACGTCACGCAAATTGGCGCACCTTAGGTGTACATTACCCTCCGTAGGTAGCACTTTAAATTCAGGAGAGAAAATAAAATAAAATTGGCGCACCATCAGAGTTCGCTGGACGAAGGCAGTCCGCTGGCAGAGTCGCACACGAGTCGGTGTTTCTGCCGTCAGTTTTGGTGTTGAACACCTAGTAGCCGTTGGCACATAAGTAGGTCGCAAGCGGGTCAAAGGCATCGTCGATGTTGCTGGTCACGCAGCCCATGAGCATCTACTTCAAGCAAGTCCGGCGAAGAAATTACGAGTGGTCCAAGTCGAGATGCTCATGGACGTAGAAACCAACATCTGGATCGTGAAGCACATTGCCGAGGCTAGACACGGAGCCGCCCGAGACGAAGGTCTCAGCGGACGTGTAGCCATTTCCCGGGAGTAGAATCAGCTGTGTCGTCGCGCCTGCCTGGCGGATGGCGGTAATAGTGGCCTGGATAGATCTCGCCCAGAGATTGACATCGGGAATATCATGGGCTCGTTCATGCTAACAAAACAAAACAGTTCAAGTCGTGCTGACAAGCGCTGAAAGCAATTACGCTCCGAAGATATGATATGGTCATCGTTGATGTAGTCTCTTACGATATTGCTCCAGAGTGAGGTGGGGATCTTGTTGCTTGAAGCGCCTTGGTCGATGATCTAAAAGTGAACGTCAGCTCAGAAAGTACAATATTATAGCGTAGAGAGCGCGGGTTACCTCTCCACTCCAGCGAGCGTAATTGTGCGTATTGACGATGCGGCTCACGTCAGTAGCTTAGCAAGTCTAGACAAAGCCATCGTACTCTCAGAACTTATCCTCATCGAGCGCGCCAATGAGCGCGCCGTCGGTGGGGAGCTGCCAGCCAATGGGATGACGGAGGATGTTGAGGCCGTCGTCGCTGATAGGGCTGCACCCGTCCGTGCCATCGTGGCCGTAGACTCGAGCGGTGGACGTTGCGCGCCGCTGGCCGTGCACGAGCTGTCTGTGTTGCAGCTAAATTCAAAGCTGACGATATTCGTATCCGCAAAACACAGAAAATCGGCACTGAGCGGCGCGCCGCTAGAGGGCGCTGGAGTGCTGCATGTCGTGCCTCCGCTTGTTGGACCAGAAGAGGTAATGCTGAGAGTGTACTATGGGTAGTCTCAGAGATGATCCGAGCTTTAGGGTCATAAGCAATTGGAATGCCTTTTTATAGTCGTTGATGGCAGTGCAGGCGGTACCGGGGACAGGTCGCGAAGCCGGTGGAGCCCTTGCACAAGATACACATCCAAGCATTTTCATGGATTTCAGGCAGACATATAATATCGCTGCCTGATTAGCGTGGTGGGTCAGCGTTGACTTTGACTGCGGAACTAGTTCACTTACATCTGCTCCCCCTCTTGGGCCCAGCCGCGAGCTAAGGCAATCCAGACGGAATGCAGAGGAACTTCGTACGTGCTTTCTGCATTGCCGTGGCACAGTACCGGCTAGTCCGTGTCTAGGACAAATATCCCCATGATCTTCAGAAGAAAGCTTCTGTGCGCCGTCTCGCATGGATGACTCATTTGATAACAGGCTCTTCTAACGACACGCTCCCTCACACGGTAGTCAAAGAAGCGCATCTCTTGTTATTCTCATCGAAATCAGGTGCGACCGGGGTAAATGACAGAAAGCGGCAAGTGACAACTTCTACCTCTGCGAGCCGACATCAGATCGACGACAACGTTGAACAGCGTCCGCAGTATTTAACGTACCTCTTACAAAGTGCAACAGGCGAGTGCAGAGTGGACAGAGAGAGAGAGAGAGAGAGAGAGAGAGAGAGAGCAATGCAAGCCAGAAGACAGCGAGTTTTAAGCAGATATTCGGATGTAAGTATACCAACGGCCCACCTTTGCCTCAACGTCGGTCGGTGTAGGAAGACGTAAAGGGCCTACACAGATGCCCATTGATGATATCGATCCGAGTAAGCGGAAGTTGACCAATAAATATACGGGCAGATTGAAGCACTGCAGCTCGCAGAAAAATCGTCAGAGGACGGAACCGCGACGGTGTAAACGCGCTGGGGACGCCACGTGATTTGTATGTGATCGGGCGCTACGTGTACCAGACGCCCGATATATACACTGTCCCGCCAGTCGCCGCCGCCATCTCAAGAACTCCCTCTACTGCCATCTTGTGAGGCACATCGCTGTAAAGTCTCTCATGGAACACCGCGCTCGTCTGGCAATCACTTCGCCCAGACAGGCATGGACGTCAACGGCGCGGCTTCGCGTAGGGCCGTAGGCGGTACAAGCAATGCGAGCAGCATGGCAAGAGAACCAAGAGCCAAGGTGCGTGGTTGTGTTCTGACCTCCGCGCTTTTCTTGCTAAATTTAGCTATGACCTCGCACAGTGCACGTTCCGCAACTCCCACTTTTGCTTGCTAGGAAGCACATACTTCACGACAGCACGGCAATCGCCCTTCTGCGTCGAGCTCATTGAGGAACGTTCTTCTGTCAGCGCGCTATCACGTCAACGAACCGCTGGCACCATTTGAAGTTCCTGTGTATGTCCTCCTCTGCCCGTTCATGTACGCAATACGTCTCATCCTCGGCTGCAGACCACGACCTACGTCAAGAGTCCCGACAGCCTACTGGCCTCTTTGCACTCGGCCTCATGAATCAATCACACACACAAGCCTCGCAGCTACGGTTCCGTAGCGAAGATGTTGTCCTGGTAAGTCTTTTTGCCCCTTGACTACTGCCGCCATTCTCACTGCGGCCTCAGGCTGTCCTACAGACTGCATATACTAGCACTCGATGGCCACGATTGCTGCGTTAGCGATGCATCGCCCGACTGCTCGATCTTACCAGCCGACCTCGATCTCCAAGCTCCACTCTCGCGTTACTCTCGGTCTGCACTCTCACTATGGACCGCGGCCACCAGACGGCAAGGATGCCGACATTGACAGGACAAGGGGGCGTCTCCTTGGGCGACGACTTCGAGAGGACACGGCCGACACCCGAGATGGGCTATGTATGGACACGAGCAAGTGAGCGTCGGGGAAGCGAGTCAACGACTTTCTGGGGGAAGCGGCCTCTGAGGCGAGAACGAAGGATCCCACTGGGCATACCATCCGCCATGACTATGTTGTCGATGACTTCAAGGCTGCCTGTAAGTACCGTTTGCTGCAAATACCATGGTAAGATAACAATCCGCCTATTAGTGACAAGCACTGACGACTACCTCTAGCATATGATCAAGGGCTGCATCCAGTTGCGCCGGTTTCCAGACATCAACAACACCATTACAAATCCTTTCGTCGGCGATGCTACTCGTCCTGTCACGCTTCGCCGCGCTCCCCCTCTTTCTGCTCTGCGCGACCACCCCCAGCATTCTTCACGCTGCTGCGTACCCTAGGCCCACCTTCATTGGCATCCTCTCGGCCCTCTCACGGTACGGCAATGGCACTGAGCGTTGCTGGTGGGTCATGTGGCGGTGCCAGGTCGGGCTGCACGTCATGGAGGTACAGGACGACGCGCTGTTCCCTCTGCTACACTTCGTGGCCGATGACCTGGCGACAAACACCAAGGCGCGCTCGAGCTCGGCGGCATGAACACGCAGGACCCTGATGTGCGGCATACGAAGCAGACGAGCGCACGGTCGACAATGTGGTGCTGGGAGAGCGCAACGCCTGGCCGGTCGAGGTGGGCTTCCTTCCAACGCTCAAACGCTCAAGACTAACTTACGCGCTCCCAAGCGCCAATTGAGCGCCCAATGCACGAAGTGCGGAGAGTTTGGGAAGTGGGTTCTTACTCGAAAGAGTCGTTGCGTCTTACATTCTAGTCCAAATTTCCCGTCATCTCGCCATCAGAACACGATAGACGTGAAATATTCCGGGCGGTGAGGTGAGCAATATCGGGAAGGTGTCATCGGTGAGCTCCGAATCTTGCGATTTGACTATAGCAGAGGCTGACTGTGCATCACAGCATCTTCGACGGGGTTCCTCCTGAGGACGGCTGGTCTGAAAGCCACGATGATCGAGATTGAGACTACGGGAGCGTGGTGCGTAGTGCGCTGTGCGCTTTGCAAAAGCTTCAGAGGATGGGCTAAGCATGAAGTTGACAGGAGATGTCCATCCCCTGAACGACGGCAGAGAGGCCGACTTAGGTCTCGGTCATAACTCGGCTGTCAACTTTGCCGGTCGTAATGCTGCTATCACTCGACATTGGCACGCCAAGTTGGCGTCCGTCATTGAAAAGACGTGCGTCCCTGGGCGGCCCTCGGCTGAGTTTGTTCCTGACGCAACTCGTCTCGCAGATGCATGGCCATCATCTGAGAAGATTGTTCGAGTGTGTTTTATTGGCAGCAGTATTTGTCGTTCTCACCGTCATCGGCGCGTCGTAGACTGTCCATAATGCAACGATTGCCACTGTTGGAGTATGTGATCGCCTCTGGTCACCAGCCAAACGTGGTAACATCGTATTCAAGCCTTGGTGGAACCGTCGGCGACATCGAAACTGCCTCATTTGTTGAGGCCATCCAGCGGTCCCAATCGCGCGTCAGCTACGAGGACTTGACTGGCCTTTGTACCCGGGACATGCTCCGCTAAATTGCTTTTGGCATGCGGTCATGCTTGCTGGAACATCTCATATGGCCCTGACCGCGCCTGCGCGCCGTGGTACGTGCGAAAGCATTGTGGCTGCTAAATGCTACTAACAAGAGAGTGCAGATTTGGTTACTGCTGTCGGACGCTTCGCCTCGAGCGCCGTGCTTCCTACGCTTCCGTGACCTGATGCTAGCATGTCGGGAGGAGCGCCGAATCCTCATGGAGAGGCTGCGCGTCAACACGAAAACCGTCGGCATGAAATACGTCGCAACTATTCCTAGAGCACGCTCGAGCGCACTTATATCACCTGGTTGGTGCGATGCAACTTCACACCTAACATTCGCAAATCGGTGAGCCTATTTTTTAGATATCTTTGCGGAAACTAAGAGCAGGAAGTACAGGCGCATCACGTGGACGACCCGAGCTCGCGTATGTGATGCAGCGCTATCGCGAACTGCACGACTTCTGGCCGCTGCCTCGTCAACCTCCTAGTCGACGTCGCGTCCGAGCTCGCCGTTAAGTTCTTCGAGTTCGCGACCGTGGGGTTGCCCATAGCCGGGTTCGCCGATACCTTTGGGTACCTCCGCATCAGCTCTGCAACGCGAGCGCGGCTGTTCAGGGAGTATGTGCCGTGGGCGATCAAGTGTGGGAGCAGCGCGCAGAGCCTTGTACTGGGAGGGGCGGCGAGAGCAGGACATGGACGAGCTGAAGGAGGAGCTCGGGTCGTGGGATGCGCCGGTAGCGAAATGGCCCAAATCGCGACATGCAGAGCCTTGCGCAACGGAGCATGTAGCCGCTTGAGCGGATTAGCATCTGGTCCGTGTGCACCATCCCACTTCAAATGTTCTTGAACCGGCTGTTGCTCGGGATTTTTTTTTACATCTTACAATGCAACTTTGGTTTCTCTCGTGTGGGCGCGACCATCTAGCAGAGTAGCCGGACAATGTTTCAATGTACGATCAACTTGTGCGCTCCCTTATTCGCATGTTCTATGGATTTCGAAGGTCGCATCAGTTTGGAGATTGGATCGACATCCCCTCCGTCGACGGTCTGTGGATGCTAAGCGTTGAATTCGAGTGTCTAGAGACACCTATGGTGCGTTCACAAGGCAAGGTGTCAGTGAATGTTCTATCTAACCTCAGATGCCTAGTTCTATGACTGAGAGACGAAGCAAGCCTTAACTAAGCAGGGGTTACAATAAGCATCTCTATTCAATATATGGCAATCGAGCGTAAAGCAAGCATTCAGGCAACCGTGGTGCCGTTGACCGGAGCGGGACCGACGACGATGGGCTTGGTCTTGCTGAAGTATTTGAGGTCCTCGGCATTGATATTAAGCGTCGCCTCGATCATCGCAGGGGGTGTGAGGGCGAGCCACTACAAATACAGAGTCTCAGAACATGCTCCTATCAACGCGCACTCGAGGAAGTCCGTACCTGAGTCAGGCTGACATCCTGGAAGGTCGCAGTCTTGAAGACCTCGAGGAAGCGGAGCGTTGTGTTTCCAGTGTTCTCGACGTAGTGGCCGTGCGCTGCGGGAATATAGCCTGGTTTCAACCTCTGATCAGCTTTTTGCTTGTGTTTTCTTGCGATAAGCGCGTACCGATGTCACCTCCCTGGAAGTTGAACGCCCCCGCGTTGCCCTCGGATGCAAACACTGCGACACGCGCATTTCCCTCCCTGATCATACTTCTTTAGCAAAGAGCGCACCAGCGACACATGTGACCAGGCGACTCACAAGAAATACTTCTATTTGTCCTGGATCGGATGCCAGTGCAGCTCGCGCATCCCGCCAGGGTTGACCGCCACCTCTGCGACAGCCGTCGTCTTCGAGGTGCTGAACACATGCGAGTCCACAATCTTGACAGACCCTCCTGAGAGTTCAATCGCGGGCATCTGGGACATCGTGAATGTGTATGAGTTCGGCACGGTGCCGTACGGGCTCACTGGCGCATCCGAGTCGGGACCGGGAGACGCTGGTGGGGCAAGTTCAGTCTTAGCAGGTCCTTAGATGGAGAAAAGTTCAGCGTACCCGCAGGGAAGATGTAGAGCTCCTCGCCCGGAAGCTCGTTGAAGACGGAGATGGGCGCCTGGAAGTTCTTAGCGATGACTTCCTTCGGGGTGTGTGCCAGCCAGTCGGTGATGAGGAACGTGCCGTCCTCGTCGAAGGTGCCATTGTCAAAGACCTGGGGCACGCTTGCTCAGCATCTGTACGAAGGTATCTTGAAGGCACAGTCTACCAGAAGGAATTCAGTCCCGTCCTCGGTCGCATTCGTGGCCTGAAGGGAGTGAGGGACACCGGCGGGGAAGAACCACAGATCGCCCTGGTTCTGATGGCAAAAATCGCATCAGGAATCACTCCAGAAATACCGTCACTACAGTACGTACTGCAGTTCTGACAAAGTTTTGGCCGAGCTGGTTGACGGCTGTCACTTGCACGGAGCCCTGAAATGTCGAGTTGAGAGGCCTGCTCGGAGCT